TTCCGGTAAGAACATATATATATATATATATATATATATATATACTTTCTCTTCTTTATTATTAGAAGAAAAAAATATAATTTTTTATTATTAAATATAAGCGAATTTAACTACTTTGTCTTATTTAATGATACTTTTTTCTAAATATTTTTCCTTTAATCCATGACATATTAGTTATACAACTTTTTTTTGACATTTATAAAAAGGATGATATTGGAAAAATATTATGAGAGTAGTATAATTTATGATAAATTTCTTTTTTATCCTCAAATTTAAAAAAATATTATTTTTAGTCCTAGTAATTTTTAAAAAATTTATTTTAATCTTTCAGGTCACCAATAATATATTTAAAAGTGGCAAAATGAGATAATTATGCATTATCAACTGATTTTAATATAATATTTTCACCAATAAATACATTGGTAGTTGATCATCACTTTATTTCTATATGAGTCAACCCAATAAAAATGAATTATATCTCCTTATATAATAACAAAAACAATTGTTTCATATAATCAATTTTTGTGGAATTCATACTGTTTTTGTTTGTTTCTTGTATTTTACTTCTTTAAAAATTAATGTTTTAACTTATATATCACACATATTAAATATTTAGTTTATGTAGCTAAAATTTATTAACAGGAGGGATTTGTTTACTTTAGGAATAAGTCTATTCAGATTTACTTCGTCCAATAACTTATGTTTTAGATCAAATTTTATTGATCTAAAACATAAGTTATTGAATAAAGTAAGTCTAGATAAACTTATTATTAAAGTAAACAGATCTCTTCTCATTTATTAATATATATATATAATTTAAATATATAAATTATATTTAAATTTTATATAAATATATATTTTAAACCTATATATGTTACATTTTATATTTTTGATAAATAATTTATATTGTAAATAAAAGTAATTTAAATTTTTGATAATTTATTTTAAAATATTAAAATTTAATTTATAAATAAAAATAATAAATACAAATTGAATTAGATAAAATTTAAAAGAATTGTTCAAAACTCTTTTGTCAGGAAGAAAAAAGAGTCTAAAATATACTCTTATTAAACAAAGTTATAAAAAATAATTAAAATATAGTATTTTTGTTTGAAGTGAATTTGTTTTGTCTTGGGATAGATCTATTTTTTTAATAGAATATTATAATATAATTATAATTATAATCAATTTCATAGCAAATTATACTCTTTCATAACTTTAATTATATCTTTTCTCTTTTACGCTATTGTCAATTACATTACATGAATTATCTTTAATAATTTAATGTTTCTATAATGAAAAAATCTGTACAAAGTGATTAACTATTGTTTTTGGCCATGATTAATTCTTATATATATTTTTAAAAAAATAAAAGTAAAATGAAACGAATGCTAAAGTTGATTTTTTTTCCTGGAAGACTGATACGAAATTTTATTTCTTGAAGTGTAAGTCAACTTTAGATTTAACAAAACATCACTAAATTTAGATTTGACTTTGAGTTATGTTGATACACAAATTCATTTTTGTTTACATTTTCTATGCTTTCATATTCCAATAATATAACTAATAAAATTTGACAGATATTTTAGAGACTTAAGTTGTTTAAGCATGTTTGAAGAAACAAAACATATTTTTTTAATCCATAGTAATAAAACATATTTGAATGATCAACACACTGAAATAAATTAGTAAGTATTTATATATAAAAAAATTGTTAAAAGTTTATTTAAATTTGTATGAAAATAGTTTGACTTTCATATGCTTTTTTTAACTTATTTCAATAAACTCCTTCGTATATCTTACCAAAATAAACTCTTTTAAATTATTTTCGATAATAAGTTTAATAAAAGCTTGTATCGAATAAGCATGTAATTAAGATGTTTATAAAAATGTATTAGTCTTTAATTATTTGGTAGAAGATACATACCAAATGTATTTATATATTACAGTTCATACATGTATTAGTTGTTTCAATAAAATTATTCCAAACACGCACAAACATTGGGTCTGAATGCAGCATGTCGCTAGAAAAGTAGCCAAAGTATGATGTTCCTATATTGGCATTACATTACATATTTGTCTATGTTTCTTTAGTATGGGATAAATGTCCTTTTTAGTATGTCTGACCAAACTAATGCCCATCTACCGTTGAAAAGTTCTTTCAGGATTGGTAAGAAGCACACCAACATCTAGAAACTAGAATTATGCACACTAATGATTTGTTATTATGAAGAAATGATGAGAGAATTTACTAGTTGGGAGTGATTAAATCACTACTTGGACTTTTCGATGCCTATACCGACTCGATCTTATTAGGTATCCCGATAAAAATGAGGAAGGACATCCGAAAGGTTTATTGTGTGATTATTTTATTGGTAGACAATTAAACAGAAAAATATGTGAGAAGCCAAATGAATATATATTTGCCTTCTTTAGAAGGAAACCAAACACATTCTTATAGATTTTGTTTACCATGTTTTTAGACCAATTAACCTGCATGAAAAGAATTTGTGGTTCAACTGCATTCCTTCCATGATTTTCCAAATGTTTTGCATTGAAAGAATTTTTACATGATTTACTAAGGCTATAGTCTTGACTCTCCTAAAATCGAAGAATTTGAGCGTTATAAAATACTAATTATTAATTACTCTTTTAATATAATGAGACACTTTAAAAAATGAAATCAAATTATAGTTGTTAAAAAAATAACTATTACTTTACCAAAAAAAAAAAAATAACTATTAAAATTGTAATAAAATACATATATGTATATACTGATACATAAATTATAAAGTTAATAAAATCTTAAATGTGAATTTTCTAATCAATAATTATACATTTATACTTACATTTTATCTTCTCAAATATACTTTTCTTTTTTCACTTTCTGAGAAGCAGAATTCTGAAACAATTATCGCCATTAAATAAAAAAAATTGGGGAAATTTAAATAAAATTACCCATTCTGTGTCAAATACCTTTTTAATGTTATGCTTTTTTTTTCATAAACAATTATAAAACTAGTTTATATCCATAATTGCATGCTCAGTTGTTTCAAACCCCTTTCACTCGAGTGTTCATTTGGATCAATATTCATCGGTGGTAATTTCATAATTTATTATACAACTAAATCTATTAATAGATAAATATAGGTTTAATTCATATAAAACTGATGATCCCAATCCCGAGTGAATACCTGGTTTGTGTATCTTGTCATCATTTAATATCTCTAAAATTGTGCAAATTCCTAAAACAAACATTATTTATCTATCTTAAAAATAAACATTATAAACCAGAACAAATAATGATTAAAATAAAAATAAAATAGAAATGTATATACCAAAATCAACATTCACACATTTTATAACTAAAAATGATGAATTCAAATTTTAAAAAAATGAACACAAGTTTTACATGAACCAAAATCAATACTCTTATTTTACATGTACTCTATATTTAAGCCTATATTTTTGTTACACTGTAAACTCTTAATTTTCTAATAAACGGTTCATAATTCTACGTTTCACTCTCTAATGCACTACTCATTTTATAGCTTATAGTTAGCCTACTTGATTCAGTGTTTAAGTTAAATTGGTATAGCAGTATTTCTGCCTCCAAATTGAGACTTCATAATAACTGCACAGCCAACCGCTTTTTTGGATTTTGACAAACATTACACTGATCCAACAAAATGGTGCCATTGCACCTTATAGCCCCAAGATGAAACCTTAAAGACGTCATTATTCTGGAAAAGGCGGGGTCACTCCAATCCTAAAAGCATATTTATAATTTCAAATAAAGGGCACCCTAAAAAATGAAAAGGGACAGAATCCCTGTAGTCTGAATATTTAAAACGGACTTAACTTACATTCTTTGCTGAGGCTACTTGTATGAATCAATAAGCTACTAACTGCAAATATATTCCAGTTTAAATACAGCCACAATCCTTTAATACGGACACTTGCGAAAGGTAAGGATGTTGCTGTAACATTTTCTTCCTCTTCGCGGTTGAACACAGGTCACAGTGATCATAGCAGCAGTACAAATTCTCAAATCTTAGATGACGAAACTGGGGTTTTTTCAACAGATGGAGATGTTTCTTTGAAACACAACATCTTGTTTAGTGCAGCAATATAGGCCTTGACACTGGAAACAACAACATCCATTCCCGCTCCAGTCCCACTATAAAAAAAATAAAATAAAATACCATGTCCATATATCATTAGAAAGATCAAGATACACCACAGTAATACACTTCTGAATTCGCCATACCTAAATGTTCGAAGAACAACTGCTCCAGTTACAGCATGAGTAGTGCCAGTACTTGTCTGACTTGTCTCCCCACGAATTACAACACGGGTAGTGGCAATTGCATCAATGCCTTCAGTGACTGCATTCATTGAGTACTCGAGAAGAGTTACTGGCTCCTGCATAAAAAATAAGAATAGAAGATTCCTCTATAATACCAATACTGATAACAAATTCAATATAATTCAAAAAAATGCAAGGGAAATCAGGAAACATCCAAGAGTTTCAGTCTGCCATATGACAGCTCTTCTTTTTGTCCTATTGGCTATTTCTAAATTGAACAACCTGAAAAAATCACTTGGTTATGGTGACTATAATTATTTAGGGTTAAAGAACAAGAAAAATAGAGAAACAGCTGGCAGTAGTAAAACAAAAATATTATCTATGTGATGCAATGTCTTCCAATTCCCTAGCGTAACAAGCAACAACAAATATTTACAAATTCAAACCTTCACAATCATATCAATAGCCTTGTAAGCTGAATCCACTGGTCCAGTACCAACAGAACAAGCAACACGTGTGCTACCATCATGAAAAATAAGTTTGACAGTTGCTGTTGAAAGACCAAGAGTTCCACAAGTCACCTGCATCAGGTAGATATTGATTAGCTTATGTTCTTTCTAATATTATCAAAGCCATTATATCAAATTTGAAATAATATATCAATTTACCTGCAAATCACCAAGCTTCCAGATAGGCTCTGCTTGAAAAACTTCATCTGACACCAATGCTCTGAGGTCAGCATCAGTAACCCTCTGATATAAATTAAAAACAAGTTAATCAGCATGCATCCATCCGTTAGGTATAGAACCTCATCCCCCACCTTCGATTCCATACAGATAAGAAACACTACCTAGCTTCATTTATTACCGGCCACATTAGTTGCTTGATATAAAACATTAGAAATGCTACCCAAATTGTTGACACAGTCAAAGCTAGCCAGATCTCATGACTCAAAATCAGCAAGACTGGAAAGGAAAGAAAATCACTATTTGTAATTTACCTTTTTTTGCTCAGCCACTGCTTTAAAACGCCAAAATAAACTCTGAACTTGGTCATCATTAAGTTCATAACCAAGCTGAAAAAAACACAGAATAATTCAAAATAGAAGAAAAATAATTCAAAAGGTCTATGGTTTCAACTCAAATATTCATATACCTCTTCAAGTCGCTTTCTTAAAGCATGGCGTCCACTGCAACAACAGTAATAGAAGTGTTCATTAGGAGGAGAAAATAAAAGAGCAGACAAATTGATTGCACAAGGTATCAGAGGAAAAACAACAAACAATGAAACAAAGAGCCATGTTAATTGAAATACAGCTTAAAAATACACTATATGACACTAATTGTTAACCTAGCTATACAGGTTTCCATAAATAGATGTTAGAAACCCTAAATGTCAGACAGCCAATGCATAGAACATCAAATAATACAAATACTCTTAAAATGCTTAATAGAAAATTTACCCTAGCACTACCATACTCTACAGGTAACGTCTAATACTACATGAAATTCCTGAAGTAAACTTCAGAATTCATGCACAAGTATTTGTAGAATATAACTCGGTCCTCCGCTGTTGTCAAGTGTCAAAATTAAAAAATTCATGATAGTTTAACCACATGCATTGACTGGACATGAACAAGTATGATGCTTCAGAGCATCAAAATAATGCTGGCCAAGAATCATCATTGCTCCCAGAGTTTCACCCTGCCAAAGTCAGAAAACTTCTCATGCACTCACTCAAATATAACCAATATGCTTGCACCATGAGGAATTGCATAGGTCTAGAAAGCTAGAGCCATGAAGTTTTTTCTCATGTTAAGGTGAAGAGAACTCAAACTTATATATTATCGTCAAGGCAACAAATTCCTGATCAATGGCTTGTAAGCCATGTATTGTATCTGATAATGAACACTTTCTAAATGTATAAAGTTATGTTCTCAATACGTTAGAACATTATGAGACAATTCACAAACTGCCCTTGAGCTTTCTATGTTTCTTCCTGGTGCACGTGGACTGTTCTCTCTATACAACTAATTTTTCAGCATGGTATTGGGAACTCTAAAGTCTCAACCAAGTTGTAAAGTGTTTGATCAAGTTGAAGAACATGATGTAATATTTTGAAACTCAGGTCAACATTTAAGTTGACCAGGATTCCCTCGTACATGGGATTCTCAAAGCTCCAGTCATTTATAATTCAGTTAACATTTTGTTTGGAAGTGAAGATTTCACATTGAACAAACTTAAAAGAGTATTAATAAACAAAAAATGGTTAAATAGCCAAGACCATGGTTAGGAATCACTTCGCAACTATATACAATGATAAACTAAACTATCACTCCAACTTGTTTCATCATGTCATCCTGACTGTAAATATTAAACATATTTACCTAAATACTTTTCAGAGATGATAAATTCTAAAGAACTTAAAGAAGAAAAAAAAAAAAAGGATTGGCAGGGTGTACAAATCCAAGCAGATATAAGTATTCCAGAGAGAAGAAAATAGCATACCTAAGCTTCCCCAGTACAATACCAGCTTCATTGGTTCTTTCAAGCCCAATGTCCTCAGGTGATATTATTTCATATGTATTTTTGTGCTTTAGCATTCCATCCTACAACACAGTTTTTTGAAGGAGAAAAAGGGCTTAAGGCTAAGTCATCAAAAAATAAAAAGGTGGAATATCAAGTAGGGACCCACTGTTAAAAATATTTACCACAAAGAGAGACAAAACACATAAGTAGCTTTATTCTGCATACCACACCATGTAATTATTCTTCTTTCATGGTATCAATAGTTACTTTTTTGGAATTTTCCCAAAAGTAAAGTGCACTAGCACCTAAAACAGACAAAAGAAATGTGCCACATCCAGGGACAAAAAAAAAATAGAATGAAGCTTGGCTGTAGCATATGTGAAAGAAATCAAATTAAAGTTTAATACATAAAAGGAATCAAAACAAAATTAAAATGTGGCACTGGGATGAGTCTTAAAATGGCTGTTTGAATGAAGCTTAAAAAGACTGCTTTACATTATTTATCAATCACATCTTCTGTGTTGCAAAATCAAAATCAAACATAGAAATCAAGTTCAAGGTAGTCCAATTAGATAAGGATCCACAGAATGCTCTGATTTGGACCAGAATGGTATAGTTACATGCAAAGAAGGCTTTATTTTTATTTTAATTTATGAAACCAAAAGGTCCCAAGTAATTTGGCAATTTGTATAAAATTAACATGCAACAGCCAAACAAAATGGGAGGGGAGGGGTGGTGAGGCCTAGTGCATGAGCTTGCCATTACTGGGATTTGGAGAGGATTAGATGTTCCCAACAGCACACGCTCATGAGAAGAGAGGATATTTTCATTTTCATTATTAGAAAACATCACAATTTTATCCCATGATGCAACCATGTGCCAAGGCTCACTTCTTGTCCCATGATGCAACCAATTCTGATTTTTGGCCAATATTCTAAGAAGCTTCTACTAAGACATGTCATCTTATCAGTAATTTGGGGCATACATGTTGGAGAAAAGACAGCAACTGTTGCTAGTAGAAAACTCATTTCAGGCGAAAGCATGCATATTATAAACTCCAACATCATACAATGGTAAGTACCAGGGTCCGAGTGCTATTACATAGATATACATGGATATATATGTATTTAACATAGCCAACCTGATGTATGCCACTTTCATGGGCGAAGGCATTAGCTCCCACAAGAGCCTTGTGTGGCTGTAACTGTAAACCAGTGTAGTCTTCAACCTGTAGAAAATGATCATCATAGACCAAACAATCAATAAATGTATTTTAAAAGAGAGAAGAAACAACTGAAAGATTAGTTTCAAGTATAAAACCATTCTGCTTGTCAGAAAGATGTGCTTTGTATTAATTCCAGTGTAGAGATTGCCATTGACGTGTGCTCCGCATTTCAGGGCCATCACAACCTTAAAAAAGGAAAGAAAGAAATTTCCATGCACAGAATCATCAAATGGTCATGTTTCAGTAACATGTGTTTCATTAATTAGGCAATACAAAATCAACCCTCACCTCTTCTAATGAGGCATTTCCAGCCCTTTCTCCAATTCCATTAATAGTCACTTCCAGTTGCCTTGCACCAGCACGTGCACCCTAAAAGCATCCAAGAGCACATAAATTATCATTGCCTGCATTATTTTAAGAGGTAAAACGCGATTATAACCATACCTCTAAGGTGTTTGCTGTAGAAAGTCCAAGATCATTCTGGCAGTGGGTAGATATAATAACATTTTCAATTCCAGGAGTATTAGCTTTAATATCAGCAATCAACCTTCCAAATTCACTCGGCATGGTTATACCAACAGTGTCCGGTATGTTAAGTGTCGTGGCCCCAGCCTTAATAACTTCTCCAAGAATTTCATAAAGAAACTCCCTATCGGACCTGTTAACCAGCACAAAAAAAACAACAACCGATACTCAAAGTGTAAAAGGTGACACCATTCAACAATGAGCATAAACTTCCCAATAGACTCTCATAAAGAAAGAAAAAAAAAAAACCTTCCAAATTCACTCGGCATGGTTATACCAACAGTGTCCGGTATGTTAAGTGTCGTGGCCCCAGCCTTAATAACTTCTCCAAGAATTTCATAAAGAAACTCCCTATCGGACCTGTTAACCAGCACAAAAAAAACAACAACCGATACTCAAAGTGTAAAAGGTGACACCATTCAACAATGAGCATAAACTTCCCAATAGACTCTCAAAAAGAAAAAAAAAAAAAAAAAAAAAAAAAAAAAAAAGACAAAATTGTATTTTCCCCCTTTAATTCTTAATCCGCAACTTTAATCTCCTATTTCTAATAAAGCAATTTTGGGACCAAAATAACAATTTATTAAGTCTCTCATGAAATAAAATTAACTTATGCATAAACAAACTTATAAAACTCTGAACCAGTGGTGGAGGGCCCCAAGTTCAAACACTGCTAAACTAATTTATAAAACTCTGAACTAGTGGCGAGTAGGATGCACATGGTCCTAAGTTCAATTGTAATTTGTAATTCGTACGGAACAAAAAATCTCAACTAATTTTCGGTCATGCATAAGCTACTTTGAACTTTATGTAAAAAGCTTAATCCATTTCACTCAACATTTTCTGCTAAAAGCTTAACCATGCAAGAGTGAAAGTGAAAGAGACCTTCCAGCATCTTCAGGACTGAACTCGACGTCTTGGCAGCCCAAACTGCGAGCGAACTTGACCATACTGCGTGCAATGTCGATGACCTTCTCTTTGGACATTCGCAACTTGTACTCCATGTGAATGGCGCTGGTGGCGATGAACGTGTGGATCCTCGGCCTCTTGGCGTACTTAACGGCCTCCCACGCAGTTCGAATGTCCCTCTCGTTGCACCGCGAGAGGCCACATATCACCGGAACGTAACCGTCGTCGTCCACGGCGTTTCCCACCTCCTGCGCGATCGCCTTCACGGCCTCGAAGTCGTCCTTCGACGCCGCCGGGAACCCGGCCTCGATGATGTCGACGCCGAGCTTCGCCAGTTGCCGCGCGACGTCGAGCTTCTCCTTGGACGTCATGGAGGCGCCGGGGGACTGCTCGCCGTCGCGAAGGGTGGTGTCGAAAATGCGAACATAGGAAGGGTCCGGAATCCGGTTGGGGATGTAGGGTGGACGCGGGCGTGAAGGGTACGACGATTGGGAGCAGTAAACGGTGAATCGGGAGTTGGAGCGGAGCGAGGAGTGTCCTCGCGAGGTTTGAGGGAAACGGAGGGTGAGAAATGTGGTGTTGTGGTGGAAAGAGGATAGGGTTGCGGATCGCGGTGGCCATGGAGAAACCCTAGAGAGAGAAAGTGTGGATGAATGAATATTCAGCGCCGCAAACACTCAACACTGTGGTGGTGACTCGGAATATGCTAACTCAGCGGCGGCGCTTTTCCTTTTCTGCGCAGTCACTCTGCTTTGAGATAGACAAAGTGACGTGGAACAAACTACACTCTTTTACGCTCTTCTTACCAGCGAATCAAATAAAATAATAGTTAATCACCTTTTTCTTTCTTATCTTTGGCTAGTGTTTTATATTGAAAGCTTTATTTTATTATATTTATTATATATTATCATTTATTTAATCAGATTTGCTCATTTACTCCTCCCAACACCTTTTCTTTTGAACAAAAAACTCCATTTTTTAATCTAGTGTCATTTTCTTTCCCCTTATTCTTATTTTCTGTCTCTGTTTTCCCAAGCTCTCTTGGCAGGCCTAGCAGTATAATTTTTCCCCCCAATTTCTTTTCAAATCATTTGCAGAACCCGAAAAAATTGTTTCAGGCATAGGTTGCTTTCATGGTGCATGTGAAATAATGGAAGAAAATTCCTCTATTAGTGCCAATATTTATGGTAGGATGCTGTTTGAAATTCTGACAATTATATACATCTCAAGATTCTCAACAAAATGATACATGAAAGTTTAAGCAATTGTTGTGATGCAGAAATGGAGAAAATACAAAAGCCGAATTCCAGCATCAATAAACCTATATAGTGTGTTTAGATGAGAAATTTTACAAATTCAATGAATTTTAAATTCTTTATATTTGAATTACTTTAATTTCAATTTCTATCATTTTTAAGATATTTTCTTAAGATATTTTGTTTGGATGAGTCAATTCAAATTTCTTAAATTTTAAATTATTAGGTTGAATATGATAATTTGATTCCATCATAGTAAAATTGATTTTAAAAATATATTTATATGTTGAGATTTTTAAATTAAATTTTATAAAAATAAATATTAATCCATTTTAAAATATTTAATAATTTTAAAAATTAATATTTAATAATATTTAATAATTTTAAAAAATAATATTAGATAATATTTAATAATTTTAAAAATATTTTTGAATATCCAATAATTAAAAGAATGAAGAGATAAGATAAAATATATGTGTGAAATAAGAAAAATATCACATTTTTTGGAGAATTTGAAATTATACTAATTTAAGGAATTTCACAAATGCTTGGATTTCAAATTCTTTGTAAATTCCTCATCTAAACAAAGCATTTCACCTCAAAGAATTTAAAATTCTTCAAATAAATGAATTACCTTATATAAATTTCTCATCCAAACACATTAATAAAGATAGTCCTGCTATTTTTTCAATGATAGTAGTTAATTTGCTAAAACATCGAAAAAAGTCTATAACACTTTAATATTTGAAAAATTGTTTATTTCAGATTTTTTTGACTAATGAAATAAGGCAATCTTTTTTCTATGGTCAAACAAAGATATATTAGTTCTTATTTGAAATATTAACGAAGAAATTGAGTTCTATTACCTAGTTAGGGATTAAAATATGGAGAGATGTTTAAATATAAAATAATTATCGTTTATTAACGTAGAAAATACTTCGTGTATTCGTGTATTTCATATAAAAAATAAAAATAAACTAAATAAGAAAAATATTTGTGTATATGTGAACAGTTTTAAATGGTAGATAAATTAGGTAATAAAGTTTATCTAATATATCTACTATTGTTCGCTGATATTAAACACGTAAAATAATATAGTTGAGACTATGTTTGTTTAACACACTTATATAGAAAAATATATAGGATAATTTATCCAATATCAAAAAAAATAGAGGAATGTACATTGTTATTACAATCTTAGACATGGTATCATATACATTCAACTAATTATTAAACATTATTTACATATTCACTTATTACTGATTATGACATTATTTGTGATTTCCTTTTACTAATTTCACTACAACAAACAATAATATTAATAATTCGAAAATAATCTATTTTTAATTCATGAAAATCAAATGTTAAGATGAAAAACTTGTTACAATCGTCAGATTTATCACTTTAAAAATCAATGGTCAGGATTATTCAGGATGATGACCTTCCGCTACCAGAAGAGAATAGTGAAAAATGAAAAAAAGACAAATCATTATTCTATTTTTTTGCACAATAAATAATTGGTTTGATGAAAATGATCTACATTTCAATAAATAGTTTAATAATCATTTGTTTTAGGATTTGAAAACCTCCCTGATCTAAAACCGAATGAATTTCACTACTAAATGTATTGTATTTGATTCATGAAAAAGAATTGCAAAGTAAGTAAAAATAAAAAATAATTTTGTTAGAAAAAATGGAAACTAACGACTTTCAATATATTATTTTTTGGCTAAGTTGTATTTTTATTTTTTTATCTTATTTTTAATATTTATTTAAGTCTTTTATTTATTAAAATATTAATTTTAGTTATTTATCTTTTATAATTAAATAAATTTATTTTTTAAAATAATGATTATTTTCAATATTCTGATACAATTTTGAATTTTTTTTTTACTTATTCAAGACAAAAAATTTATATATTTATATTTACCTATATGAAAACTATAGAATTGAGTTGATGTTTGAATCTACAAAAATTATAAATATAGTCAAAATTAGATGAAAAGTATATCACATGCAATTATAAACTCATATTAAATTATATATTTAAAAAAATAATTACTTTTGAAACTTATTTTTTGCAATTTTTATCATGTTTATGACATTTTTTTAGTTTGAGTTTCATTTGTGTACAATAGTTTCATATCTAATGAGACAAATTTTAAGTCTTAATAAATTAGTAAAAAAATAATTCAAAATCGTGTGTTAAAGTTAAATACACACATTGTTTCAAAAATATAAAATTGGTCTAAATTTAAAAATAAATGACTAAAATAAACATTTTAAAAGATAAAAGATAAAAATGAATCATAAAAATAGGGTAAAGGATCAAAATTATAATTTAGTCTATTTTTTATAAATTGTATGAATTTATTTTTTAAGTATAATTTTAAGTATTTTGAATTCATTTGGAAAATTTTAAAATAGTATTAATAAGAAATTTTATTTAATAATTTTTATTTTACTTTAATTTTTAATATTATCATCCAAATTAGTTGCTCCTATTTTCTTATTTTTGATGCTTTGCTTTCTATTTTCTTATTACTCCACTTATTTAAGATTTAGAGGTAGAAATCAATATCAGTGTGTATATATAAAGTTTTCACACAATTAAAGACAAAATTTAATGATACAATAATTAATATCCCAGGAACATATATATCTACGTGGTTTTCATTGTTTTAATAAATTTTATTAGATACAAAGCACATCCCTTTTTATTTTATTGTATATATGTTATGATCATTGTTTTAATTTTTATTGACTTTCTTATCGAATTAAAGCCACGAGGAAGTATGCAACGTTCATCAGCTGCAAAAAAAAAAAAAAAAAAATGAAATCAATATAAAATATAAGATCATGTTTCACTTTGTATGAATAAAGGCATTTAATTTAGTACAACCAATTTAAAAATAAATATACATATAATAATAATTCACATCCACGCATCACTTCAAACAATGTTAATTTGAAATCAAAAACCTCATTTCTATATAAAATAACAATAATAAAGAACGAGTGATCTAATAACTATTTTTAATTAATAATTTAGATATTAAACCTCATAAATGATAAACAATCTTTAAGAGAATTACCTGCCAGGTCAACACATAAAAGGATTTGATGGAAGCTTTACTTTCCAAATCTATACATTTGGCCTTGTACCAAATAATTGAACCTAGAGCAGCATGTCCTAGACCCTAAAACATTGACATTGAATAAATTTCAAACATTATTGAAAAGTTTAATACATATATTATACATTTAACACCTCCTAATCAAAAGCACACATCTTCTTCAAAACATTTTAGTGAAGTGGAACAACATATCTATATATAATTATAACATATATATGATATAAGTATATTACCATAATAATTTTACTCCAAAGGTAAGAAGATGTTGTTCCCGCTAGTAGACCAACTCCAAAAGCCATTTCAAAAAAGGAAACAGAAATCCATAATACCTACGAAGTATTAATTAACAACAATTAAGAAATATATAAAAAGATACAACAAAATTTGTTGAGATATTGAATTTATAAAACATACCTGTTTTTGACCCAAACGTATTGAAAAAGTATCAATACCATGTGTTTTATCTCCTTCAACATCAGATATATCCTATATAAATTTGGAAAATATTTTATATACCAAAAATTTCATGAAATATACCAAAAACAAAGAAACATATATTTTGAGAAATTGAAAGCTTTTACCTTGACCAATGCCATACCCACAGCATATAAGCTTAAGAATACAATGCCAAAAATCAATGATCTTGGAAAGACAATTGATCTCTTGAATAGAAAAGTCTGAAAATTGTTACATGAATTAGTAATAAAAAAATTGGCTTCATTTCATCTTTCCTACTTTAATTAATCTTAGAAAGTGGGATTGAATTCAACTCAACCATACAAAACTAATTTATAAGATAAGAATTGCTTTCACTTATATTATTTATTTTAGTCATAGATTTTTTTTAACACACTTTTTCATATCAAACACTATTAGATTTGATGTATGGATATAAGGGTGACAAAGTGGATCATGACCCGATATCTCGAGGGCACTAGAATGAGAAGGATTTAGAGGTTGCAGATGTGTGAAACTAGACAATTGAGAATGACATGAAAAGAATTAATTAGTATTACCCATACCACCAAGATGTATATACTTTTTGGAAGCTCGTCACTTAAGAACTCCATAACTAAACGTGTTTTACTTGAAAAAATTAAGAATGAATGACCTTCTAGAAAGTTTTTTAAAAAGTGTGAGTAAGAATAAATCACAATGAAAAGTTTTATATTGGTTTGTAGGGCCAATCTTTGATCTTAAAGGAAATTAGACATCTCAAAAAAGATTAGCCACAAAGGGTTTTAATTGGTGAAGGGTTCCGACCAACGCGTGTTATGTGATGCATCACCATATGAAGTATTGTAGAAAAAAATTACTGGGACGTTAAATCTACGGGGCATTAAAAACGGCATCAAAGCAAGTCCTCTCTTTAGGTATATTATGGTTTGGAGACGAATCAAGTAGAAACTGGTGGGTTTCTAACATCTCGAGGACATTAGAATGATTCAAAGGTTGTACATGTGTGAGATGGAACAATTTTTGATGACTTAAAAGAAATTAATTAATATTACTTACACCATCAAGATGCATCTATCAGTTAAGTACTTCATAGTTAAGTGTGTTTAACTTTTAGATATTTAGGGGAGGGTAACCTTATAAAAAGTTTTTCAAATAGTGTGTAAATGAAGACAAAACATACTAAAAAGTCTTATTTTGGTTTATGAAAAAGTTTTAAATATATTTTTATTTAAAAACTTCATAGTTAAGTGTGTTTAACTTTAAGCAATTTAAGGGTGAATAACCTTATGAAAAGTTTTTCAAATAATGTGTAAGTGAAGACAAAACATACTAAAAAGTATTGTTTTGATTTGTGAAAATTTTTTAAATATATTATGGTTTTAGATTTGACAAGTTAGACTATGGATCTAAAATAGGTATGATTTGAATTTTTCTAAATACACTCTCTTACAACTAATACTATTGAAGCTTAGCATATGTATAAATGGTGAGTTTGTGACCTTTTATTAATGAATTTATGATAACTCTATTACTGTCTTAGAAAGTAAAAATGGATATAACTCAAATTTATAAAATTGGTTTTCAATTAAGGTGAGAATGTGAGACTCCAAGTTTTTTTTCTTCCAATAATTAATAACAGGTGGAATATTTAAAGAAAACATTGAAGCTTAGGACTATATTGGCAAAACATATATTAATAATATAGAAGATGAATGTGATAGCTTATGAGATACGTGAAAATGTTTATAACTTTCTGATGATTAGTTAGTTATGTACTCTTTATTATCCTGGAGAGAGAGACAGCTAAGTTGGCACAATAGCTTTTGATGTAAATGTACATATCAAACCATAGCAACGAAAATGAAGATCGTTCTTCTTTTTTACATGTCTAGTTTTTCTTCAACTTTCTCACTCACATCCCATGATTAAGTTTTGATCCATGAATTGAAATAATTGATCCAAAATTTTATGTGCATATGAGTTAATGCATGCTTGTCCGAAATTAAAGGTCAATAAAAAGCACAATTAGTTACATACTTGCATGTGGAGGAAAGTTACAATAGGCAATATGAATGCTTGAGAAGCAACCGTGCACATCATTGCCAGCAACGGATGTCTTTTCCATCTCAAGAAGGGTACCTAAAAAGAATTAAAATATTCTAACTATCATTAAACAATATTTTTCAAATAATAAGTGAATATATTTGTTATTAAGAGGATTTTAAATGATTTAGCACAAAATGGCACGGTTGGATTTCAAATAAACACAAAAAATCGATGCATAATTGAAAAAAAAAAAAAAAAAAAAACTCACATTGATTGAATAAGCTGTCCATATTGAAGAGCCCACTACAAGACCCCAAATCAATGACCAAGAACCTATAATCCAACTAAGGCAAAAACTCTGTAAAAGAGAATAAAACAACAAGCCTTATTTTACTTTTTCAATGAAGATAATGTTAAAAAATATTATTGTATAAATGGGTAGATTTATATGACACCAGAGTTAAAAATGATGCAGCAACAATAACACCATTTTTAAAGGATAATTGTCCAGATGCTAATGGAAGATATGATTTGTTCATCTGCAATAAAACATGTAACATAAATTAGTCATAAGAAAAAATCATTTCGAAGATTTTACAAGTTATAAAAGGATACATTTTTTGTTACTATATCATAACTCACATTAATAAAATAATAAAAAAATTAGTAGTTAAAATCATATAAGTTTCTCAAATTGTTGCGTGTGGGCTAATGCTTTTGTATACACCCGGCTCCATAAACTTTGTTTGGTCGAGACAATAAAATATTCTGCAATATTTTCATAGAATAAAAATAGAGATTTTTTTTTTAGGGGAAGAATAGAGATCTTTTTCAAATACACATTTTTGTGATAAAAAATCTAAATTTGCTTCTTTTTTTATTTATTTATAAAATTCACTCTTGACTAGAGTGACAATTATCCTTTTTTCTCTCTTTCTGTTTGAAATTATATTAAAGTGTGAATTTGTGATTTTGTGTAACTTATTTAATATTAAAAGAAAAATTGATAAAAATGAAAAGGATAAAAATAAAATTAGTACATAGCCTATTTTTTTAAGAGAAAAATATATTTTTTTATTAAATATGTTTTTAAGTAAAATAAATAAATTGTGGAGACAATTATCTTAGTTCCTCTCAATGTGGATGAGTAGATCCACCCTACTAAGACAATGTAACATACAAGTTAAAAATGTTGAAAAACCAAAATAAAAATTGAAAAATAATTTATTTTAATAAACTAAATTATAATATTTTTAATGAGTATCAAAGTAATACATCTTAATTTCGATAAGAAAAATGCAGTATAATTTAATAATGAAAAAATTAAGGGCAATTTTGTCAAAAATGGGACCAATTACTTAATAGAATAAAATGCGAATAAAATACTAATATATTATAACATATTAGATATAGTAAAAAAATTAAAATATAATGGATAGTATATATAGTAATAAAAAAAGTTAAAGTTCAGTAGAGGCAATTGCCTGAGTAGCAATGCTCATAGATTGGTCCATGTACACACCTATTCTTTATATGTTTATAAATATTTTTTTACTTTAAATAAATTAGATAAGAGTTATACCATTATCATATTTTTAACTGAATATTAATATTAAATTTATTCATATATATAAGATTTAATTATTTAATTTATTAAAATTAAGAAAAATAATTAATTTAGTTGATAATCATAGATTTATCCAATTTATATATTTTTTCTTTTTAACAATATTTTTATACAACTTCTCTTTCATAAATAATACCTATTTATCTTTTTGTCAATTAGAGCACATGTCTTATATTTATTTCTTCTAATTAATATTTATCTTTCTCTTAATTAATTAGAGTGCATGTTCTTTAGAAAATTTATAATTAATGTTTTTTGTTAAATTAAGAGAATACATTTTAATTATGAGTATTTAAAACTAAAAATAATTAATATAAGAGAAAATATGAATTGACTTTTATATAAAGGAACAAACAATTATTTAAAGTTAAATTTTATAAATAAGAACGAAGGTAGTATATATATTTTTTATCAATGAAAATGGTATATAAGATATGACACCTCCATATACTGGACAGGGAACTATTAACATGTTAAAAATTCTTAAACCAAATATTATTATTTACTTAGTAATTAATCAAAGTTCAACTGTATTTAAATTTACACAACATTTTATTTATCGAACTGAAAACTAATAGAGCCATACTAAATTTTTTTTACATCAAGTACCAAAAAAAAAAAAAATACCAAAGAATCTCCTTAAAAGAAAAAGCAATTTATTATAGATCCAGATTATTTATTTATAATTATAGTAAGTTTCATACCTTGTCTATTTCAACATCAAACAACTGATTCACACCATTAATATAAATTGTGATAAACATGTGAGGTATCACAACCTGAAACATTTCAAAACTCAAAATATTAATGAAGTCAAAAGGTAGCTTTCAAGTATATTTAAATTAGAAAAATAATATTTACCTGCAACACACCAATAAAAAATAATGGAGAAATATTTGACAAATTCTCCACCGTAAAAAGAGAGGACGAAATTATGTTTAATGCCTGTCGGAAAAACAAATAAAATTGACTGATTCAAAACATTAAAGATATTTCTATCATTGAAAAAAGTGTTTAATATAAATGACCTAAATTAAATATTAATCATATAATTGGAGAACTATTTATGAGAGTAAAACAAGAAAAGTTTGAACTTACTAAGCCAATCATTGCATATGGATAGCAAAACTTGTATAAAATAGCCAATAAATTTTTGATAGTGTCCAAATTTTTGGGATGGGAAACATTATGTTCGGAATCAAAAGATGGATTAGAGATTGCTTTCACAAAGTATTTTTTGTTGCGTTCCTCATAAGCACACTTTCCTTCGATGCATTTATAACGTTGCTTCAAACTTTGTTGTTGAAAACTCAAAAGATTACATTCTATTTGAGTTTTCCTTTTGTATTGTGGACTCTTTGATGCCCAAGAACCTACAGAACATTGAAGGATGTCGTATTAGTAGTTAAGGAACAAAAAAAATACTACATCTAAACCATAGTTTTTTATGCTTAAGATTTCTGTTTATTCTTTTTAAATATTTAATAATAGTATATTAAATATAAAATACTCTTATTTAATATTTTCAAATAAAATAGGAGTAATTGTGGTTATGAAATAAGAATATTAATTATCAAATAAGAATATACATAAAAAGTAATTAATATCCTTTAGAAAGCGTCAAATATTAAAAATCTTGAAACAGAAAAAAAGTCTAAAATATTAAAAATTGTTGTTGGGAGAAAGTATTATTTTTAATTCATTGCAACCAACATCACAAAGAAATGAATAATAATTTTAAAAGCTAAAATAAGAGAAGTCACCATCAAAAAGAGAAAAAAAAATTAAAATAATATATATATACATATATATAAAGAGAAAACATTAAAAAAAACTATTAATTTGGAGAAAAAAATAGTTTACGGAACCAGAGCTAAGTTCATGAGTCATCTGTACATTAGAAAATATACAATAACATACCTTATCCTTTATAAAAAAAATAAATAAATAAATTTACACCTTTAAAGTAACAAATATATTTTAGAAGATAAAATGCGTTCACAATTATTAAATATAAAATTAATTATTAAAATTTGTAATAAAATTAAATTTTTATAATAAAATATAAAATTAATTATAATATTAACTTTTAATTTTTAAATCAATAATTATTATTGCATTTTATTCTTTAAAGTACAAAATTTTCATTTTAAAAGAGTTAGATCCTTATAAAAATGTCTTGAACATACAAGATTTAACAACTTTTAAATATTTATTTTATCATAAGAAAGAAATTGTTTTATTCATATTTTTATTTATTATTTTTATGCAAAATATAGAGAATTGGAAGAAAATTATTTTTTTCAAAATAAATTAATTCTTTTTGAATAAATTATTTTCCGCGTTATGGCCCCAATTGTTAGTCCTATACATCCATACAAAACTTTATTAATTTAGTTAGGAAATTTAATTTTCAACGTATGCATATATTACTTTTAATATATATTTAAAAATTAAAATTTAAAACTTTAATATTAAATTTTATAAAAATAAATATTAATTAAAATTTAAATTTTTAATAATTTCAAATATTTATAATTTAAAAGAACAAATATTAATAATTTTATATCGATAGATAAAAGAAAGATAGAAAAAATAATAGAGAAAATAAGAAGAAAAAAATAAAAGTGAGAGAGTTGAAAGAGAAAGATAAAAAGGAAAAAGAAAGAGAAAAGGGATAACTATAAATAGTGTCATAAAATTTATTATACTATAATTTTTTTTAAATGAAAAAAAAATCAATTGAATATAATTGAAGTTTGAGATAGTCTTTAATTTTATCTTATTCAACACCATATTACTTATTTATATTAAAAAAGTTTTAATTGAATACTATAAAACTTTTCTATAGAGATTTTTAAAATCCTAACTAATACACTCCATAGTTTGTGTTCAGATGAAAAAATTTTAAACTTGAAATGTTTAAAAGTTATTACAAGATATTAAAAATATTGTTGGTTGTGTTTGTATAATCTTTTTTCTTAAGAGAAAAAAATACAATAAAGTAAAACAAAATAATTTTTTATACAATAAAATTAGTTTATACATAAATTAATTTATATGTTTTCTATTTTGATTTTTTAAAAAAAAAACTGATTTTAACTTTAACTTATTTTACCTTTATGTATTTTTTCTCAAAAAAGCTTTTGTGGAAAATTTTACTAAAACAAATTTTAAAATACATTTGACCTAGCATATACATAAGAAGTAATGATAATAAAGGTTAGTTAAAGGAAGAGAAGGATATGTGAGATATACTTGCACAGTGAAGATTCTTGGTGGAATGTCTACTCAGGCCTAGATTTCCACCTACAATGAATAGTTGTACAAAATTATAGAGCAAAAATGAATGAAATAGAAGAAGAAAGAAACGAGTTATTAAAGCATAGATAGGTACCAGTTGTGACTGAACAAACATTAGAAGATATAACAAGTCCACCATCCATGGAATCTCAACCAAGTAACAAGAAAAAAAAACACACTTTGTTTCTTACTGAAAAAGCAAAATTCACATACGTAGAAGACAAGAGGAAGAGAGATTTTATAGACTCAGTCGATGGTTAATACAACTAGTAAGATTTAATTAATCGATACACATTGCACAATGTCAACGTTCCGGGACAAATAATTGAAAATAAATAAAAAAAATAACCATATGAAAACATTACTGCATATTATAAAGGTAAGATTTAACTAATTTATACACGTGTTCGACACTTCGACGCTTCCAAGGAAAACAATTGGAATAAGGGTACCAAAACACTGTCTATATTATACTAAAAGATTAAAGTAATTCGTGTTTCTAATAATTAGACATGGATAAATATTAAAAGTTACAAATAGTTATTCAGAAAGAATATAATTTTTTTTTATATTTTAAAGAATTGGTCCATTAAAAAATGGAGATCAAATGAGTAATTACTAAAATATATCTCTTTATAATAGGTATAGATATAAGAAATAATTTTCTTAAATTTTGTAATTTAAAAAAGTTATTTCAACGCCTGAAGATTACCGGTAATATAATTTATAGTGGTAGAAAAAATATAATTTAAATTTACTTAGTCAAAATTTATTTATACTATATAGATGGAAACGAAATAGCATAACAACAGTAGCTTAACATTAAACTTAATTAAACAAATTTTAATGTAACAAGTCAATGGCGGATAGTTCACTAGTGGCACCAACATGACCCCATTACCATCGTAAGCAGTAGCGTATAACCAATAAAATTCCAGTAGCAGTTAGCTATAAGCAGTTGAAATAACATTAATTAAAACGTGAATAATAATGTTTTTTTAACAACGTGAATAAATAGCAATTCAATTTTTTTTTTTTGACAAATGTAAAGAAAGAAAACAAAACAATCCAATATTACAAGTGGGGGTAGGGAGTTATTAATGCATCTGTAACTAATAATAATTGAAGAACAGTTTCTATTTCTTTAATGATCACTAAGGAAGTGTCTGACGTTTAATCCTTCTATGTCAATCAATTTACATAGAAATTTCTTTTCCGAAACACGTGAGTGAGGAAGTAACTCCATGATCTATCTAACATCTTTTGGATGAGTGTCATGTATTTTGATTTAAATATTTTTTGAAAAATATAAATAAATATTAATTCTTTAAATAATATTTTAAGTTTTTCATTTTTATAATAATAATTTGTAATATTTTGATATTATAATTATAGTGATATTTTTTTCTATTATTTTTTTTAAATTATCTTTTTATTTTTGGTTGTAACATTAACTTTTATGGAAATAAATTAGTAAAAGATTTTTTCTTTAATTAATTGGGGTACTAATATATGTTGAGAGATAGTATAAGATAATTAGTTATTTTGTTATTTTGAAAAATTACATTCTTGATTTAATAATTATATATTTATCTTTTAAAAGATTTTCTAAGTAATTAATTAAGGGATATATAAGAGATATGATTACTTTTTATCTTTTTAAAATTTGAATTTTTAATTAAAGTGGACTTTTGTCGACGGATTATGCATGCAAGTGAGGGATAGATTTTTCTTTTAACTAAGCTAGGTTTGTCTCATCTCACATAAACCTGATCACATGTGGTTTGAAGAACAAGCGAAAAATTGAAGCAGGAAAAAAATTTGAAGATCAAAACCCTCAATTTAGTGTCGACTAAGGTAAGGGAAAGTGAGAAGCTCGTTATAAGATGGAGGATAACTGTTGAGTAGTAGGTTTGCCTCCTAATTCCTAGGATGTGTGTATGTATGTTGGAGAGGGATTAAATCCAATCTTTTTGTGAATTTGTCTTGAAATTGAATGTTTTATACATAACATATGTGTATTGGTAATTTGATATGTTGGTTATAAACTTGTATGTAATTATGAATCTATGAATACATATGGATTCCCAATGAGTGCTAAGGATGTACGTATCTAGACTTATGAATAAGAGTGAGTTCGAAATATTAGCAATTGCATAACTAAAAACGTAGACTAATTAGACCTTAGATACTCCTTTAACAAATTAAAATCATAGAAATCATAGAACTTTCATATTTGTAAATTTGCAAATTATGCAAATCATGTTTTATTGATATCACATTGGGCGATAACTTGGATTTGTCAAGCACGAGAACTACAAAATACTTGCAGCCTTGATCATGTCGAGTGTGGAATGAGTCTCGTTAAGTGTGAAAGTCAAAATACTTACATAACTATTAACACTTGACATGAGTGTAATCACGTTAAGCGTGAAAGTTTCAAAGGACCTCTAAATACATCTTGTCAAGTGTGGAAAGGATTATGCTTGACGTGATTCCTTCAAGACTTGTGACCTCTAAAAATTAAGAACAACCAAAAGATATACAAGATGACACAACCAATTATGTTGAAATGTTAGATTTGAAAAACATACTTATTTTTTACCCAAACATACTTAAAAAGGTATAATACCATATGTTTTATCCTCTTCAACATCATGTATATCCTATATAAATCTAATAAAATGTTTTACATTAGTTACAAATATTGAATGGAAAACTTAATGCTAAAAAGAAACATATTTTAAGAAACTAATTAAATACCTTTACCTTAGCCAACGTCATATCTGCAGAGAATAAGCTCATAAATACAACAACAAAAACGAGTAATCTTGGAAAGACAATTGGCCTCAATATAGAAGATGATATTTTGTGATAGCTTGGTACTTATGTGTAAATGTTTGTACTTATTGATAATTAGTTAATTATAGGCTCTTTATTATTTAGATGAGACAGTTACAGTTGACATAGTAACTTTCAGTGTAAATATACATATCAATTTACTACAACGAATATAAAACTCACTATTCTCCCTAAATATTAAAATGCATATAAGTTAACAGTTTAATGACTATGCATCGACAGAGTAAACTACTTTTATATTATCAATTAATTATAATTCGTTGTTGGTATATTTTTCAATTATTTATTGTAATAGTCAACAAACATAACCCATGCGATAATTTCCTGTTAAATAATAATATAAAACTATTTTACATTATCAATAAATAGTTAATTTTCTCATAAGTTTAGGATTTTGATAATGCATGATATAAAACCAAAAAAATTAAAGACTTATAAAAAGCCCAATTAGCTACCTGCACGTGAAGGAATGATGTAACTGGCAATATAAATGCCAAAGAAACTATCATGACCATTGTTGCGAGCAATGGATGTCTCTTCCATCTCAATAAAGGCATATGAAAAGTTCACTGCAATCACCATTCTTTTTTTAAAATGAGTCCTTAATAATGTGCTTGTTAGAAAATATTCATGTATCATCATCGAGTAGCTTGATTTGTATTTGAACAATTAATTTTAATAAGTGAATGAACTTGTTCAAGTGGATTTTAAATCACTTAGCATAAAATAGATGTTTGAATTTTAAAGAAAGAAAATTTGAAAGTATTCGGTATTTTTAGAAGACAAACTTTAACTAAATGATTTATTTTTTTCATTATTTTAGAAGGTGCTTTTGACTTGAGAATTAACTTCTAAAGAATGATTAGATTCCCCCTTTATCTTGTTTTTTCGAATAAAATATTTTATAAATAAAAGTATTAAATCATATTAATTTAATTTTTATATATTTAAAATTCTTTGAAATTTTAAGATAAGTTAATTCATCCAAACACAAAGTTATGCTTTGGGAGCATTGAGTTTATTTAATGGTGTCATTACATTGTATCCAAGCCTCCATGGCATTTGTAATTTAACCATTGGCACTTTTTCCTTATAATAAAAAAAATGTTGAATCTTGGCACAAGGTAAGTAGATCAATGCATTGTTTCACACTTAAATCCAAAGGGCTTTTTGCATAAAGGGATGTGATAGTATTACAAATTAAATATTCATATTAGGGGTGTTCATGGATCGGTTTTTTCAAAAAACCGATCCAAACCGAATCGAACCGTTTTATAAAAGTGGATCGGTTAACCGATCCATTTTTTATAAAGTGGATCGGTTTGGTTTTTTTAAAATATGGATCGGTTTTTTTTAAATTGGATCGGTTCGGTGCGGTGCAGTTATCCACTTTTTTACTCATATATGGATCGGTTTTTTTAGAAAACCAAACCGAACCGAACCGATCCACTTTGTAAAAATGGATCGGATAACTTAACCGGTTTTATAAAGTGGTTCGGTTCGGATTTTTTTCCAAAATGGATCGGCTTTTTCAATATGGATCGGATCGGTTATGGATCGGTTCAGATCAATTTGGATTTTTTGCACACCCCTAATTCATATACCTTCACCTAATAGCTTTAATTAGTGGCTAAACGACTATTGTGGTGCACTTTTAGAAACAATATATCAAAATGGGGTTGTTTTGAAACATTTTACACCTTTGGGACTGTTTTATTGGGTGTCGCTATAGCGACACCCATGACACGTGGTTTTTTTTTTTTTTTGCTTAGTTGGGCTGGATCAGTGTCGCTATAGGCTGGCCCACCACAGCTGATGGGCTTAAAAAAATTATGTAGCCCATAGCGACACTAAGTAAAGAAAAAAATAAAATAAAAAACAAAAATAATAATAATGTAAAATAAACATAATAAACTGAACTATTTATTATATAATTATAAAAAGAAAATTAAGTTTTATAAAACTGTAATTTTAAAATAAATAATATGTATTTTTTTAAAATGGCGCTATGGGCCATAGCGCCGGAGTGGAGCTATGGGCCATAGCGCCCCAATTTTTTTTTTTTTTATTCGTTTTTAAATTGTTTTTTACATTATATTACTTATATTTTTTAAATTTACAATTTTTTCTTATTTCAATCCTTTTTTTCCCTTTTGTCCGTTATTTTTTTTATAAATTTCTAAACAAATATTATATTTAAAAAATATTAGATATATTTTTTAAACTGGCGCTATGGGCCATAGCGCCTGAGCGGAGCTATGGCCCATAGCGCCCCAATTTTTTTTTTTCGTTTTTAAATTATTTTTTACATTATATTACTTATTTTTTAAAATTTACAATTTTTTCTTATTTCAATCCTTTTTTTCCCTTTTATCCGTTATTTTTTTTATAAATTTCTAAACAAATTTTATATTTATAAAATAATACATATATTTTTAAAACCGGAGCTATGGCCCATAACGACTTCAATTTTTTTAAATTTTTATTAAATAATTTATGTAGATGTCGCTATATGTGATGTAGACTCTTGCAGTATATATACCCCCTCTCCATTCTGCTAAATCACATCGATATCTCTACTTCATTTGTTGTTTTTGTTACTGTTTGTTATTTATCCACTAAATCAATCTGGTTGGTTCTTTGCTCCTGTTAAGTTGAGTTTTAAATTCGTATTTATGATTAAATTTTTTTGTAGTTTAAATAAGTTGTATGTATTTGTACTAATATTTAAATTTTTCTGCAGATATTATGGATCAAATTATAGCTTATATTTACACTGGAAGGATGTATGAAAGTCCAAGGTAATAAAAATGTTCATATTTGATTATATTTTAAAATATATATTACATCAATTTTATTTTAAAAGAATGAAGTATCAAATCATCTTGGATTAATATAAAATTTTATATATATGATCTAAGAGTAAAAAACTTTCAATTTTACGGTTGAATTTATAAAATTCACAATATAAAATTAAACGGTGTAATACTTAGTAAAAATTACATCGGTGTTGTTTGAATATATATATATATATATATATCTATCTTCTTCATTCAAATGTTAGTATCATGTTCTTGTGCTTAATGCTTGTATGGAATGATCAACTAT